TGTTGCGTATCTGGCCGAGGGTGGGAGACCCAAACTCCCCGTCGTCCATGCAACAGCTCGGGGAAGACTTTGCAGTTTTTTCCTGGATTTTTCTGTTTGCGCATAGTCACTTTAAGATGTTTTCTTGTTCATGTTTTTATTTTTTGTTTGTTGCGGTTGCACCCGATTCAAGAGCCGAATGGCTCACAGGGCTATACCAAATAAATGAAACTGAAACTGAAGAACAGTGCCCGTTCCATTCCGACAGACCTTTCGTCGGCTGGAAGAAACATATCCTGAGGATATCTGTGGACAGTCGCTCTATTTGTCCGCAGAAGATTGCAACAAGAAACACTCCATTTCAGGAATAAAGATAAAACGCTGTAGAGCACCTATGAGGGGGGGGGGGGGCGGACGGAGGGGGGGGGGACGAGGAGGGGGTGTTAAGAAACTAGATGTTAACCACCTCGCCTGGTATACAGGAGGGCTTGGAATCGATCGCGACCCCTGACGCCTGCTGTGTATTATGAGTTTGCGTGTCTTCCTCCTTCCTCTCTCTCCCCGTGGTCGTGTGGATATTGCCCCGGGTCGTCCCGGGTTTTTCCCCATCCACGTTCAGAATCCAGGCGCGTTTTGAGTGTTTGGCTGCTATAAATGTCCACGTGATAACGAGCAACTGCGTTGAGATATCATCTGTGGGCAGGTCGCTTCTTGAAAAAAAGCTTAATATAGCTAATTGCACCTTAGCTTGTAAAATTTAAACTAGTTAATAGTTTAGCATATCTTGAACACGAAAACCAAAAAAAAATGACCCGAATACACCCGTTCAACTTCTACCAGCCCATGGCATGCGTTAACATCGCGCAGCTGTGAGACATTGAAACATTCAATTTGGAACATCCCATGTTCCGCGGGAGGCAGGGTGGTGTGTGCGTGCGTGTGTGGGTGGGTGGGTGCGCAATCGTAGAGGTTTCTCCTCTCTACGTCGCAAAGCTGCGATGGAATACTGATTTTCTGCGCTTAGAATTTTTTTTAAAGGGGCCGCGTATCCATCCGCGCGTCGCATCCACTCCACGCGCAGCTCTGCCAACCCTCTCAGCGCGGAGTTTAGGGAGTGGGTGGGTGAGTGGGTGAGTGAGTGGGGAGAGAGATACGACATCGAAGGGAGAGACTCCTCATTGCCAATGCAGCGGCCGTCGGGCTTCGCCACTGTTACGTAAACTGAGGTCGTATCTCTTTCTCTCTGTCTGTGTGTGTGGTGGTGGTGCTCGCAATGACACGGGCTGCTCAAACATAAAAACAGCATCGCCCGTTCCTCGCAGTCCGTCCCGCCTTATCTGTGGGCAACCCGCGGTCAGATCTCAGACGCGTAAATTTCTCGGCGCAAGTCTGTTGTGGGGGGGGGGGGGGTGCACTCTTAAATTACCGATAAGTTGCACGGCGCGATATTTAAAACAAAATAAAAGGTATTCGTCTCGAACGCGTCGATCTGTCCGTTTGGATAGCTGAGACGAGCAGCCAGGTCGTTGAACCGGGGGAGGGAGGGGGGGGGGCTGTGTCTACAGCGCTTGTGGATTCTAGTCTTTTCCGCGAGATAGCTCTGGATTGTCAGTGGTGTCTCGAGTGTTGGTGTCTGGATTGTCAGTGTCTCGACCGCTGGGGGGGGGGAGGGGTGTGACTCGTTTGTGTTACCATTAAACAAGTATATTTAAAATATATATTCATTCAATTGACATTCGTTCATTGATTCATCCATCGCATTAATTCATTCATTATCCCAAAGGCTCGCATTTCCTCGTAGGAATAATAATAATAATTTACGTGGCAGAGAGACAGAATGGAGTTGTGATTATTGATATCTGCTTTACGGGATGGTGACAATGACGACGATTTGAATGTCACTTCTCGTCTGTCTGACCTCCCAGTTGCTCTCGAGTGCATGCATCCTCTCTGCGTTGCAGAGCCAACCTATGAATGTCCCCTCAAAGCCACGCTAATCCCCTTTGATGAGACTGCCTCTCAGTGAATCGCAGCTGTGACATCACGCCAAATATTCAAATTAAACAACAACAACAACAACAAATTGGTCGTATTCGTGCAAAAAAATCTAAATTAGCTTCACGTTGAATTGGGTATAAAGAGCGTGAACATAATTACTGGTTCTCAAATCTCATATATATATATAAAGGGCATACGATGGCAGATTGTACGTAAGAATACAAATGTGCATTGCCCGATGTGACCCGCTGTTGTTTGACCAGATAATCCCAAACCACGCTCTTACACAACTAAGCCCCTTGGGTGGATATTCCGGCCGCGACAGTTGGGGAGAGAGGAGGAGTAGGAGGAGGGGGTGGGTGGGTGGGTGGGTGGGGATGATGAGAGAGCTCTACCTCGGGGTCTCAAGGCCACGTTTTTATTACGCATTAAACGGACTGCAGGACTCAAAGCAGATGAGAGTGAGGGCCAGTCCGAGCGATTTAGACAAAGCACGCCGACGTGGAGCAGCTCCTCTCTCCCTCCCTGTCTGGGTCGTGGCAATGTTGGTAAAGGATGCATCTTACACGACTCCCTGTTGAGAAGAGAGAGAGAACGATCTCTCCTGTGTCGCCTCTTAGCAGGACAGGTGCGATGCGCGAGCACCTATGAATGAGGCCGGCAAGGAGCACGAGTAGGGAAGGGAGGAGAATGTCTATCACCACGCCCGGCCGCCTTTGTCTCCCCAGTGGCGATGATTACACACCGCACCAGGTACTCGTTTGAGGCTGAGTCGACCTAGGAGAGGCCCAGGACCAGTTCAGAAAATCGTCACAGGTGTTTACCGTGAGCCGGAATCGAACCCGCGATGCAGAGTTCGTATCCACTGCTCCCCACTCCCCTCCCCCACGCACACAGATGCACACGTGTAGATAGGAAGAAATGTGCGTGAATTGGATCTCAGTGTGTTCAATATACGCGTAGTTATCCTGAACTGAGATCGAGCCTGCCTTGAGGCAGGCATAAACAGGATGCTAGTAATATGTCACTTGCATATAAGACGGCTGGCTAAGTGGTAAGAGAGTGCAATTACAAAAAAAAAACATCGGCACGCTGAGCTCATGTAAGGCTGCTTGAGAAACCCCATTACATACATTACACACATTAACGACTATTACACTAACACGAACGACTCTAATAATAGGCAGGGCTTCATGTAAATATATTCATAAATCTAAGCACGATTCATTAAGCCCCATCATCCAAAAAAGTTTTTTTATCGCTTTTCATACATGCATACTCACAGACGCATACTTACATACCTACAAAGGCAAAGAAACCCCCGACAGCCTTAAACAGACTGTTGGGGCAAGTGCTGTGAGCGAGCACCTATGACAGCCAGCACGGTACACGAAGGGGTGGGTGGTCAACACCACGCCCTAACCGCCTTTGTCTTCCCAGTGCCGATGTTTACACATCGCACCAGGTACTCATCCAAGGTCCGAGTCGACCTAGAGGAGGCTCAAGAACGGTTCAAATATGCGCCACTGATCGCGAGCGGGGATCGAACTCGGGTGGCTCCGGTTTCGTAGCGCAGCGCGCTAACCACTGCGCCACCGCTCCCGAATTGCATGCACACATTGCACGCACACACATTGCACACACGCGCGCGCGCTCGCCCTCACCCACTGACAACACGTCCGCGTTTAGAGAACACGCGGCAGATGCGTGGCTTTCCTGATCGATGCACCATCGGCAGACATCAACGCATCTTTGAGTCCAGGAAACGCACAACGGCACGAAACGCGTCCGAGACGACGTCCACTGGGGAGATGGAGCGACGAAATCGTTCGTGTGCGGGGTGCTGTGTAGATTATTACATCGCAGGAGCTTGAGCGTTGCTGGGAGCTCGGGGGAGGGGGGCGGGTGGGGGAGGTCTTCAATCCAGCAGTGGATTGACCATGGCTGATAACGACGATGATGATTGATGATGATGCGTGCGTGCGTGCCAAGAAGCACTTTTCAAAGAGCCATCGGTGCAACGTGCGGCACCCTCCCGATGATGAGTTTCTAGGCTCGGGAAGCATTACTTAGCAAACACGCGCGCGCGCGCGTGCACACGGACTGCACGCGCGCGCGCCGTCGTCACAACGTCGCAACGACGCCGACATTTCCCCGCGGCAGTTTGGTCCTCGGGCCGGCGAGAGCGCACGGCGGTATCCGAGGACGAGGGCACGGAAATATTAATCGGGCGTAGCGCTCATCCGAGCCATTTAACGCATTACATATGTTCATTAGCGCATTACGACCGCTCGTAAATACGCACTTACGCACACGTCGATGAATCCCGAACGATCGCGAACGCATTCAATGTCGCGCTTGTGACCAGCGCTGCGAGGATGCAGCCAAAGGTCCCCCGTGTAGCCCCCGGCATACGCGCGTGGAGAAGACTCCTGGCGAGCGCCTATTGGGTGAGGCGGACAACGGCGCGCGCTGTGCGCGTGAGGACACCGCGACGCGCGGCCGCCTTTGTCTCCCTAGTGCCGATGTTTTCGCATCGCGCCGTGAACGCGTTTAAAGGCTGAGTCGAGCGAGGGGTCGGGGGGGGGATGCCAACGACAAATGCACGATACCACTAGCCCGCTTATTGCGTGCCACGACCCGCAATCAAACTTAACGCGAACAGTTTATTTTAGAATGAACAGTGAAGTGCGCTAACCATTGCGCCACCGCTCTCCATAAATAGATGGTACGTACACACACACAGCAGCTATCATCAACATTGGATGATACGGCCCGTAATCGCCTTACACATGCATGTCTCCTCCACCTTTCAGCGGGCTACAGCTCACACTGACACCCAGAGGCGTTCACGGCAAAGCATGCGAACGAGCACAGATATGTCCCGATAGCTGCCGTTCTCCCACCCCTCGTTCCTCCTTCATCCCAGCCGTTCGCACTTGCAGGCGACCGCGAGTCAGAGGCGCCACCGTGCCGATGGGTGCGACGCGGATGAGCGGTGCGCTGGGCAGCACGGTACTCACTTTCTTACGAGGAGGTGCAGAGCGCTTCTGCCATGGGCTTCAAACGCAGTGGTGCGGCTCCCATCCACGTAGCGCAGACGTAGGGGAGGGATGCAACCGCGGTGCAAATCGAACACCCCCCCCCCAACAACACCCGCCCCCCCCCCTCTCTTCGGCTCTCTTTTCCTTTCTCCTCTGCGCTCACTCACTCACGCCCGGTGTTGAGTCTCGTAGTTGTGGTCGTGGTGGTAGGAACAGGAGCAGTTGTGTGATTGAGCGAAAGGCGTCCTTTGTATGTATGTTGAACTTCTTTCACACCGTACGTCGCCAACCGTGCCTTCAATGGACACGTATGCGCGTCAGAGAGAGACTTGGCGGTGTTAGAGTCCTCCTTGTGTGGTGAATGAAGAAGCGGTACAGCGGATCCAAACGCGAATAGATGCGATCGGAGCAACCCGCGATGCCTGCACGATTGAACGATCGTAGGGCGAGCAAAATAGTTAATTCAATTCTTAAAAAAATACTCGGATAGTGATAATAATTATAATCATATCCAACTCCGCTCAGAATCACCGGACGATATTTTCGCCTTAGCAAGCAAAGTATCTTAGTCAGTGAAATATTTCTTCGAAATAATCGACGGCGCTAGCCATTTGCACCGAGGAAGAGTCTGTTCACTTGGAAGTGCTAGGAATGTTTTACCAACATACTACCGATAATAATAATAATACGTAGTATTACTCCTACTACTCCTGCTGCGGTCGTACTAATTAGGCTTAGGGATCTGCAGTTGCGTTGAGCGACGTCGGATTTTAGCCGGGTGCAGAAAGCGGCGGCGGTTACGGTCAGCAGGAGGCAGTCCGCTTCGGCACAACCTCTCGGAGCCACGGCTCTCCCCAAATACGCAGCACAAAAAGCCAACCGACAAAATCCAATTTGAAGGAGGGGATAGAAGAAGAAAAAACCACACACCACAAACACACCACAACAAAATAGCAAAATATAGTTTTCCTCGCCTACAATGCTATTGCAAGTGATGCAAACTCTTCTCTTGCCTAAGAAGCAGCTTCCAAACGACGCTGAAGGCGAACGGGACGAGGAGCAGCAGCAGCGGCAGCAGGATGAGGATGCTGTGTTACCATACACAGCAGCAGCAGCAGCAGCCTAAGAACGGTACAGCAACAGCCTGAGCGACCGGGCGCTGTCCGTGGTGCTGAGCGGTCGGGCAGCGTTAACGCTTTCCACGCAGCAGTGCTCGTCCCGTCTCGCTGTCGTGCTGGCTCTCTGTCTCTCTCTCGCTCTCTGTCTCTCTCTCTCTCGCTCGCTCTCTCTCTCCAGCTTGCCCCGCTCTCTCTCTCTCGCACACTCTCTCTCGCACGCTGGCAGGCGCACCTCAATGCACGCACTCTCCCCCTTGTTTCTGGGTCTCATTTGCGGTGGGCTGGTCGCAGGGAGCGGGGAAGGCGGTTGTCAGAAGACGTGTGGGGAGGGCTAGAGGGAGGGGCGAGCGGCGATGGGTGGTGGAAGGGACGCAGGCCAAGGTAATGTGGGATCATAGGCGAGCGCAGGGTTGTTATTATACGCAATGATGGACGGACTAGACACACGCGCGCACACACAGACGCACCAAACGTCTCAATTATAACGGTCCTGTACGCCCCTCCTGCGTGTGCACGTGTGATTGTGTGTAATTGCGCGAAGCATATATGAATTGTAAGTAGACGCATACACGCGCGCACGCACGCACAGGGCGCACACGCGTGTTTAATTTGCACGAAGGCAATTGAACGCTCTCGACTGGGCTCTTGCATACGCAGACGTCAATAAACGTCCCTGTGTCCGTCGACAAAAACACGCGCTGCAAATGCGAGACGGACCCATTTAATCACGGCGAGGCAACGCGCGCGGGGCTACGACGCCGACTTTTTGTGTCATTGTCAATAAGGCCGAGCGCTGTTGTACCAGGACGAAGTCACAACTCGACTTGAAGCCGATGTAATCTCACGCGGGCTGCGGCCCCACACCCCGAGGGAAATAAATCGTGGTGAAGTTGAAATACGTCTCAGAAGCCCGTATCAGAATTGCAGATCAAACACGATCATATCGGAATATGAACGCGGTGTCATAACCTTTTACACGACGACCTCAGAGGGAGGGGAGGGAGGGAGCGAGGGGAGGGAGGGAGGGAGGGATGGAGGGAGGAGGAAGGGAGGGGAGGGAGGGGAGGGGAGGGAGGGGGGGAGGGAGGGAACGAAGGAGGGGAGGGAGGGATGGAGAGAGGGAGAGAGGGAGGGAGGGAGGGGAGGGAGGGAACGAGGGAGGGAGCGGAGGGAGGGATAAAGGGAGGGAGGGGGGGAGGGAGGGAGGGGAGGGAGGGAGAGAGGGAGGGGGAGGGGAGAGAACTTCTTCTGCAGGAGACCACAATCGGTCACAATGTTAAATGGGCCACGTGCTGCGCCTGTGAGCTGCCCTGCAAGGATGGTGACGGTTAGATTCGTGTAGCCAGCCGCTCTGTGTCATCACCACCATCATCACCACGAACATCGACGGAGAATTACCAAAGCGTCGTCCGACAACGCGGACGTTAAAGACCACGCGGCATCATTCGCAAGCAAGCGAGAGAGAGAGAGAGAAGGTCCTGAGAAACATCCTCCTAACGTTCAGCCTCCACTTCTCCCCGACGGTCCTCATCTTTGGATACCCGAAGGGCGACGGACCCCAACATCTTCAGGGGCTGGTCAACGTGCTCGTCGGCTACGCCAAGCTCGCCACACTGTATACAGGGCGAGGAACGTGGCCCAGGAGGGGAAACGTCCGGCCAGCGGCGTGGACATCTTCCACGCTCTGGTCGGAGCCAGGGTGTGGGCTGGAGTTCCGCCATGCGTGGCTGACCCATGCCGTGCCGGTCTTCAAGGAGCAGTGGGCGATGGAGGAGGCCGTGTGCTCGGTGGCAGATGACGGAGAGCTCTGCATGCAGTTATGAGCCATACGTCGGAGGCCGTTGGACTGCGAGAAGGGCTGCGTGCAGAACGAGAGAGAGTGAGAGAGAGCGAGAGAGTGAGCGAGAGAGTGAGCGAGAGGGGGGGGGGGGGGTTACATAAAGCAAAGCATTACAAAAAAATACGAAATGATGAACGAAGCAAAGTGCCGACTACACCGGGCATCTTCTTGTTTCCACTGATCATAAAAACGAAGAAGGATGGACTGCGAGAGAGTGAGAAGCTCACTGACTGCCCATGCTTTAGCTCAACTAACCAAACCGCGCTGTATATGGGCAAAGAGCAACACTCAGCGTTGCAAGTGACGATGTTTGCACGGAGCACAGCTCCTTCGTGCACTTAGCAGCTATTTCACACAGCAACGCGTGCGTGACACAGCATTAACTTCTCCACGCATTATCGGTTAATTCCCTTCGTGTGGTCCGGTCTCTGGGAGCTACAGCTGTGGGTTCTACATTAAACATTACAGCGTAGCACACACACAAATACACGTGTATATATGTAGTGGTTTAACGCGCACCAAAGGGGGGTAAATGTACACACGTGCGGATTGGGAACAGTGGGGTCGTATCGGGACATGCTGCTGTTGCTGGGGGACAGCGAGTGAGACGGAGACGGCCAGTTAGGCAATTATGGATGCAGGGCAGTGATTGGCCGGTTGTTGTTGTTGGGGACAAGGTGGCGCCTCTAAGTCTGGGAATGGGGACAGGTGGCAGCGGGGGCCGGGGGCGCGGGGCGTCGGGGGGGGGGGCAACTAATTAATTGGAAATTAATAGGGACGGGGATAAATACAAGGGCGTCAGATAGAGACTGGGAGTTGTGCCTGGGAGATGGACAGAGACGGTCGGAGCAGAAGAAGATACAAGAAGAAGTGTAGGGTAGCAGTGGAGTAGAATAAGTGTAGGGTAGCAATGGAGTAGAAGAAGAAGTATAGAGTAGCGGTGGAGTAGAAGAAGTATAGGGTAGCAATAGAGACGGAGAGGAGTGAGACAGAGAAGCCGAGGAAGAGCGACTGGAGTGAGACGGAGAAGCCGCGAGAGAGCGGCTGGAGTGAGATGGAGAAGCAGAGAGGGGAGTCAGGAGAGATGGAGAGAGGGAGGGAGGATCGGAGCGAGGGAGGCCAGCGGAGTGCGGCGAGCGAGCGGAGAACGCGCTGGAGATTGGTGGCGAAATGTGCTGTGTTGGTAAAATAAAGTGATGACAGAAAAGGAAGAAGTTGTCCGCGTGAAGTTCAGCACTACAACTGGTGTCGGAAGTGATTGCTGAACGCACCAACATGTCGAAGAAATTGGATAAACGGAGTAACGTACCGGTGGACTCGTCGGCCGACAGCAGCGATGCAGACGTGGTGCCCCCGTCGGCGCTAGAGGTTGCCGCTCCCCCAGCGGACCTGGACGATCGGGTGCCTCTGGGGCAGGAGGGAAAACCAGATGATGCAGAGAACCCGAGCCCAGCTCAAGAATGGAGGGCCGGTATGGGCCTGTGGGAGGCCAAGCTGGCCACGCTGACGGAGGTGTTCGACCACTTCATGGTGACGGAACAAGAGTCGACGACAGTGTCGGGCCAGTCCCCACACGCTCCTGCACCACCGAGGGTCATGTTGTTAGCGCAGCGGGGGTCGCCACTGATCCGGACAAAACGAGCTGTGTGCGCACGTGGCCAGTGCCAAAAACGGTGTCGGAAATGCGTAGCTTCGTGGGGTTCGCGTCGTACTAGCGTGGATTTGTAAGAGATTTTGCCACAATTGCGAGGCCGCATACATTGACCGCCAAGGGTAAAAAGTTCCTCTGGGGTGACGAGGAACAGCGTTCGTTTGAGATGCTTCGGGATGCCTTAGCAGACGCGTCGCCGCTCGGATATCCGGATTTCACCGAGACATTTATTCTCGACACAGACGCCAGTGATACTGGCATAGGCGCCGTCTTGTCACAGAAAATTGACGGGGTTGAAAGGGTTGTTGCGTACGGCAGCCGTGTGCTGTCACCGGTATAGCAAAAATATTGTGTAACGTGCAGGGAGTTGTTGGCCATTGTACACTTCCTTCAGCTGTACCGACCGTACTTGTATGGCAGGGATTTTTTGGTTCACACTGACCACGCGGCGCTGCAATTCTCCTTGCGGATTGACTAGCCCTTGGGCCAAATGGCCCGTTGGCTCAAAATCCTCTTTTACGGTCCAACACAAGAAGGGGACGCGTCATGTCAACGCTGACGCTTTATCGAGATTGCCTCAGCCGTCAAGCCTCGACGGGGTATTCGCCATTTTACTTAATGTACGGTCGGCAACTGGAGGCCCCAGCCCTGGTCAGGTTGGGCGTGCAAGTGAAGGGGAGGTCATCGGCGGTGCCTGCCCCCATGCAGGTGGCATTAGACCATCTGAAAGAGGCTAGAGAGGCCTCGTTGGGTAACACAGAGCAGAGGCAGGCTGCCAATGAACGCCTGCACGGCACACAGTCTCCGCGGGAGTCATGGCATGTGGGGGATAGGGCTTGGCTGCCCTATGGTGCCGGTGGGCACGTTGCCAAAGTTCCATCGACCCTGGCAGGATCCCGTTGAAATCGTGGAGACTCGTCGGGACCAGAGTGTACGAATTCGCTGCGGCCGGCACTTATGGCATGTTCACCCGTCGCGTCTTAACAAATTTATCTCCATATGATGCGTCATCTCCCATCCCGGAACGGCCTGTATTGGATGTGTCCGACGAACCTGTGGTGCGGCGGCATGTGAACGCACGTCAGCAGTCTACCCCCCGTATGTCTGCAGCACCGTCACTATTGACTCGGGAGAGGCTTTCTGGCAGGCTCTCTGGCCATGTGCCGGTTGGCCAGCCACGACCTCGTGAGCCGCCCTGGGACTCATGGGAGTGGGATGCGGTCACACCAGCGGATGACCGCTGTCACGAGGGCGGGCACGCATCGAGGGCAGCATGCAGCCCCGTGCCAACGAGGGAGTATTCCCCACCCTTGTCCCCTGTCCACCCAGGCAGGGGTGATGGACCGGCTACGGGAACCCGCTCTCGAGGAATGACTTTCCATTAAATTTGATTGAGGCATTACTGTACTGAGTACGTTGTTGGTGGCACTTTTGTAATTGTGTGTGGGTTTTTTATGGATGTTCGCCGTCCACTGATCATGCGTTACATTGATTGTGCTTAGCTGGGATGGCTAATTCTTTATCACGGGGGATGATGTAGTGGTTTAACACGCGCCAAGAGGGGTCATTGTAAACACGTGCGGATTGGGAACAGTGGGGTCATATCAGGACATGCTGCTGTTGATGGGGGACAACGAGTGAGACGGAGACGGCCAGTTAGGCAATTATGGATGCAGGGCAGTGATTGGCCGGTTGTTGTTGTTGGGGACAAGGTGGCGCCTCTAAGTCTGGGAATGGGGACAGGTTGCAGCGGGG